GCCATGTTCTTGCCCTTACACCAAATAATCTCTTTTGCCAACCAAAACAAAAATACATGAGAGAAGATGCTGCTTAAACTCAAACAAAAAATGAGAAGCCTGCAGATTCAATAATTCTATCAACATATAGGTATTTTATCTAGATTAAGGTTTGGTTTAATATATAGGTGAACAAAGAATATTTTTCCCTTTTCCTTTGTTGCTTCTAATGCGTGCAAAGATTGTTGTGATTGACAGGGGAAGTTGTGGCATGCAGAAGCAGGTAAAGGTACTGTAAATGTGAGGGATTTACAAAGCACTGCTACAGCTCATGATTTTTTATGGACAGACAAGGAGTTGGTTGATATGATTCGCTACTTCGATAGTGATGGAGATGGAAAGGTAAGGATCAGAAGGTCTTTCAATGTTTTTTTTTAGTTTTTTTATTTTGGCTGGAGATCAGAGAGAACATAGAATTACCTTAAGGCTTCTATGACTTTCAATTTGAATTTTAGCGTATAATTGCTAAATTTTTTTGGACTATATAGCATAGATATGGACCATACTAATCCAAATATGTTTTGTTGATTGCAAGTACTAATAGTCTAATACTATGCAGTTAATCTTGAGGTTGGTGTACTGAGTTTGTGTTACCCTTAAATTTGAGGGTTAAGTGTACTTTTTTTACTATAGGTTCAGTTAGGTGTTCCTGATGCATAATTTCACAAATCAAAGTCCTTATCATCCTTGATATCATTACTAGCAGTTGGATCTGGGCCTGTTTTATAAATTTGAACAGTTCATATGGATTAAATTTCATCAAACTTCAACCAGCTTTTTCCTCTGACAGCATTAACATGATCATAAATTCATAGCACAAATATACAATCAATGTTGACATGCATGGTCATGAAAGTTTAAGTACCCATCATAGATTAATATTGTTTTACATTTGCATTTTTTCAGCTATTGGAATAATCTAGAGAAGATCAATCACTTGGAACATCTTAGGCAAATGGAAGACTCACTACGGGAATCAACCAATCGAGTGTGCCTCCAGAAGGTAAGGTTTTTGTTTCATGTAGACTAGCCATATCCTTCGGTCATCTTCAAATGCCTAATATATTAGTCCATTAAATAACTACTAAAATATCAGATTTGTATTTTAACATGTCTACATGTTTTCCTAAATTACTTGGTGATTTCATTGGCAGGAAAATTTAGGAAAGCACCAACTGATGTCACTTGAATGTGCTAACCAGGTAGCAAATGTTGCTCTCTCTCCCTCTCTCTGTCATTATCTTTTTTTCTTTTCTTTGGAATAAATCTTATTTTGGATAATGTTGCTTCACAGTTGCAGGAAGGGATGACATTACCCTTATGATGGCAAATCTACAAGAATCCCAACCCCTGTCTTGGCTTTTGAATAATGATAATCATCAGTTGATGTTACCTAATGAACCAAAATATCTATCATTTAGGTGCGTTAACTCTTGTATGAGTCTTGCATTCTCAATTCTACAAGCTTAGTGCTACTCCTGTTGAACTGGTTTAGTATGAAAATTATACTTGTTATCCTGCTAGTAGATCTGTTTTCCAATTAGTACGTTTCATTAGACTAGTAATTTTATCAAATTTTCTTTCTAAATTTGACACAGCCTTGTGTTTCATTTTGTAATCTAGCTACTGATTCAATAGTATAACATACAGTGATAATACCAATAGTATAACATACTGTTTCATTTTCTCCTATCATCTTCTGGTAATCGATTACAAGAAATGGGTAATCGATTACCAGAGAACCTTTTAATAAGTAAATTTCGAACATATGATTTTCATTGTCTAGTAATCGATTACATGTATAGGTAATCGATTACCAGACTCTTAAAAACAATGGTTTCCTCAAATTTAGTCATCAACAGTTAGTGAGGGATTCATCCCAGTTAGTGACGGATAAAATCCGTCGCAAATTGTGACGGAATTCTGGCGTCGCAAATTGTGACGGATTCTACTTAATTAAAGTCATCACAGTTTGTGACGGATTTAATCCCTCACAAATTGCGAGGGATTTAATCCCTCACAAATTGCGAGGGATTTAATCCCTCACAAATTGCGATGGATTTTTATTAATTTCTAAACATTTATTATTAGAAATTAGTGACGGAAATTATACTGTTTGTGATGCCTTAATTCCGTCACAATTAACTAATTGTGACGGAGAAAATAATCCGTCACTAAATATTTTGTGACGCCAAATTTTGTGACGGAATCATTTCCGTCACAAATTCCGCCACTAATTGATTTGTGACGGATTTTATCAAAATTAGTGACGGATTTGTTCCCTTTCTAATTTTAATTTTTCTAGTAGTGATTCAGTCAATTAACCCTTCAATAATAACTTACTTTTTGACAATCTTTATTTTTCAAAATTAAACTAATTAATAAAAATTACTTAGTTTGATTTTGTGTAGTGTTTGCATGAAAAAGAAAACAATTAGTCACACTAATTGTCCATGTAATATATAAACTTATCCAGCTATAATAAGTTCTTCTTGATAATAGTTGAAGCACAAAACACACAAGTTCACAAAGGTAGATAAAGAAAGATGAGAAAGCTTTCAAATTAAAAAAATCTCGTATACGTTTATTCGGCAAGAATATATAAAAAAACATAAATTAATGTTAATTAAAACAAATATTAAATTTAATTTAAAATGGATATGAATATAATTTAAAACACATATTAAGGCTAATTATAATGGGACATTAACGTAATTGTCATAAGAAATAATACTAGTTAATTAAAAAGTGTTACACATTTTCAAAGCATTAAATTCAAAATTCGAAATATAATCTCTAGAGACATTTAATTAAAACGTAAAGAAAAAATTCCATCACAATGTTATTATTTCACTTTAAATAAGACTGCCATGTGTAACGACCCGGCTGGTCACTACACTCTCAACCACAGCACACCGAAAACACTAGACAAAATAGAACGAGTATATAAATATAGGATCTAGAATATAAATATATACAATGTTCCAATCCGACTAGAGTTAGAGTGTACAAACAAAATACAACCAAAGTAGCCAGATAGTGGCCCAACAACAAGCATCTTCCAAACAAGACTCCTCCCTTTGCCAGCTGCAGACTTGCCACTATCACCAGTCTAACCCTGCTCTGCTCCCATACATAGTATGATCATCACAGTCCAAACCACATGGAAACAACTAAGGGTAAGCTAGTGAAAAAGAAATAACATACATATATATATATATATGAATAGTAATTAGCTACCCCTATCAGCACATCAAATAAACACATCAATCAGCTTAACAAAATCAATTTAAAATATCACAACATTCGGCAATAACAGCACACATCTCACATCATCAGCATACCACTCATCAACCATACAACATAACAGCAATAAAACATACAATGCGTCGTCACACATATAAGTTAGTATTGGTCGCTTGTAATCGGTATAGGTCGACCGGGCCCCTATACCGTGGTCGCTTTATACACGTGTGCCTCGACCTTGCCCACACACGGGACCACTAAGACTTAGAGAAGAACAGCAAGTTACCACTCCAAGGGTCAGCTTCCCAGGGAGGGTTTTCAACAAATTGGGCCCCAAAAGCACCACAGCCACTCAATCCACACAATGGGATGAGGAAGTTTCGAAAACAACTCCTCTAGTCTTAGTGATCAACAACTCAGCCTTCCGGCCTACAACACCTCAGCCTTTCGGCCTACAACACCTCAGCCTTTCGGCCTACAACACCTCAGCCTTTCGGCCTACAACACCTCAGCCTTTCGGCCTACAACACCTCAGCCTTTCGGCCTACAACACCTCAGCCTTTCGGCCTACAACACCTCAGCCTTTCGGCCTACAACACCTCAGCCTTTCGGCCTACAACACCTCAGCCTTTCGGCCTACAACACCTCAGCCTTTCGGCCTACAACACCTCAGCCTTTCGGCCTACAACACCTCAGCCTTTCGGCCTACAACACCTCAGCCTTTCGGCCTACAACACCTCAGCCTTTCGGCCTACAACACCTCAGCCTTTCGGCCTACAACACCTCAGCCTTTCGGCCTACAACACCTCAGCCTTTCGGCCTACAACACCTCAGCCTTTCGGCCTACAACACCTCAGCCTTTCGGCCTACAACACCTCAGCCTTTCGGCCTACAACACCTCAGCCTTACGGCCTACAACACCTCAGCCTTTCGGCCTACAACACCTCAGCCTTTCGGCCTACAACACCTCAACCTTACGGCCTACAACACCTCAGCCTTTCGGCCTACAACACCTCAGCCTTTCGGCCTACAACACCTCAGCCTTACGGCCTACAACATCTCAGCTTTTCGGCCTACAACATCCAATATCAACACATAGTACAACACAACTGTACAGCTCAACATATCAACTCACAACAGTATACAACTGATACAGTTGAACATAACAACTTACGACAACATACAACTGATACAACTCAACATAGCAACTTACAACAATTTACAACTGGTACAACTCAACATCAACAAGCTCTAACATCCATTAGTGAAGTCACATCTCCGCGCCCGGCGCACTCGTGGTTGCGCCCAGCGCAGTGCAACCAGAGAGCACCAGGGGGCCAGCGCGCCCAGCGCAAGCATGCCCGCGCCCGGCGGGACCCAGCCAGAGAGCTCAAGGCTCACTCGTGCCTGGCGCAATATCAATTGCGCCCGGCGCCCACAAGGCAGAGACTCCCAAGGAGTCTCACTCCCAGCGCGACAAGGGCCGCGCTCAGCGCAGCAGATCAAAATCATTACTCATCATTAACAGCTTTAATCAACACAAACAACATTATCAACAACATGATAAACAACTTTAAAATATACTACATATAGCATATTCAACATATAATACGGCTTATCCATCTTGTCTACGACTCATCCAAACAACAACAATCAACCCAATTGCCTAAAACAACTTTCAACTTAACCAAATCACTAAATGTGAAATGGCAACCTTCACGGAAAATAGCGCATTAGGAGTTATACTACTCCTACTATGCTCATCCTTATCTCACATGAAAGATAAGAAGATTTCCTACAACTCTCAAGAAGACACCAAGACCTAATTCCTTCATCTACCTTATTAAAAATGATAAAAACCGCAACAGCTATAAACAAAGTTAACAGCTCGACCCCTCTTCACTAAAACAGCCATATCTAGAGTTCTAAAACTCCTTTTTTGGTGATTCCAGTGCCATTGGAAAGCTAACATCCAAGGCTACAACTTTCATGAAGACTATAAAGTCAAACAAGAGTCTATTGCGCCCGGCGTGGTTCTACCCGAGCCCAGCGCGATTCACCCAGAGATTCCCCTTTTCAATTCGCGCCCGGTGCGAAGAACTGCGCCCGGCACAAATTCAAACAGGAACCCTTACCTACTTCGAAAATCTCATCAAAGCCTGCGAAAAACACCAGGAATCCAACATGCAAACCATCCAAAAGCTTCCATTCTCATCAAATATCAATAAAAACGCCTCATTTCCAACATACAAACACAATTCATTAAAAACCCCAAAATTTCTTCAAACCCTGAAATTCCCTAAAAACCCCTTTTTCACCAAATCAGCCAAGAACCATCAATCAGCAGCAATCACAATGAGTTCCTAGACTCATTTCAGCCAAAAACGCAGTAAAACTAACTTCCCTTACCTCGGCACAAGGATTTCCGAACTCCGGGAAGAAGACAATGGAGAAGGAGAAGAAATGGAGAAGGAATTCGGCTTCCGGCTAGCTCCACACGGCTTGCGTTCGAGAATCTCCGTCTCTAGGAGTCCACAACTTCAGCTATAGAGAAAAAGGGAGAGTTGAGAAGATGGGAGAGTGAAGAGAATGAGTGAGGGAAAGTGAAGGAGGAAAAAGGAGAGAAAGGGGTCTCACACCATGTCACATATTTTTAAATTTTAAATAATTCACATTATGTTTTCACAAATTTTGTTATATAGTGAGATCTTATAAATAATTTACACTTGTATAATTTTTTTATTTGTATTTTCTCTTTTGAAAACTTCAAAAATAATTTAATTTAATTTAATTTTAAAAAAATAATTATTATAATAATAAAAATATCAATTTAGTTATTCTAATTAAATATTAATTTAATTAACACATATAAAATTAAATTTTAACACGCACATAAAAAATTAATAATATAAATTTCACACAATTATTTTAAGGTGTATTATATTAGCCGAAACCGTAAAAAATTTAGATAATAAAACTATATTATGATGAACCAAGTGAAACTGCTTCCTCCTATGTATATAAGCTATTGTATATGATCAACAAATTAAAATAAGAGAGAAAAAAAAAACATTACGATAACAAATTCCCTATTGCCTCTGATCAGCTGTTTCATAGAAGAAGATATTAAAACTCTACTTTAATTCATAAGCAACACCGCATATATTGAACTCATGCCTGTTTTTAAAGCAATCTTTTGTTTCATGTCAGTACATTTCGATGAGAATTGTTAATAAATATTATTGTTTAGTATTAAGATGAGGAATGTTAGTTATTCTAACACATTTATTTTTATTGGTTAAAATTTATTAAAAGTTAAAATAAGATGTGAGACCTATTATATTTTAAATTTTTTAATAAATTTTAATCAATAAAAAAAAAATAGCTGACATTTCTGTTAATAAGATATACATAAGGATTCATCGTTTGAATATCGTGGAAGAGTATTCATGAATCATACACAAGCCCAACTCAAAAGCTGATTTGGATTAGGGCTAACTTTCATGGTTAAGCTTAATCATTTAGTGAAACCTAATCCATCCAACTTGAATAAGAATAATCATATAATTTTCTTATAAGGATTATATAGTTTTCTTACGTTTTTTTTTCTCTCATTCAAGTATAGATGTTTTTGAAAGGAAAAAATACCCTATGCCCTTTAGACCTTTTGATTGATACCATCCTGAAAGTTTTATATGTCATTAACATCTTTATAAAACTCTTATCATTAGGTATAATTATAATCAAGATTTTATAATCGAGCTTTTCCGCACACTTAGCGTACTTTCTCAGGTTCTATTACTCTCTTAATCATAACTATACTAATAACAAAAATTATAATAATAACCTTAATAACAATAAGGACCGTTCAAAAGGATAATCAGATATATTTCTGATGCACAGGTTCCATTTTTATAGCAAGTGCAGAGCATATTCTATATTTAATTATAGAGTAAAATATTCTCTCACGGAAGGAAGTCTAAAACATAATTACAAGAATAGAGCTTTTAGGAAAGAGAGAAGTGTTTAGAAACTCATGATAATATAAAACAAAACTGATTTTTTTTTCTTTTTGTAAAAATCAGAAATATCTTCTATAAAATATAATCTTCATCAAGGTTGGCAGTGGTCCATGCACCATAACATGGGTTCTAAAAGAAAAATATTCGCACATATGCACCAGGAAATTTGATGCAAATTGCAATAATGCTTCTTTTAAGCAGTTCTGATATTTGTTAAGTTTCAGTTTTGAGAAAAATCTGATCTACTTACATGATTTCAAGAAAACTAGAAAAATAAAATAGAGTTGAGTCATTTATCACGCTTCCATTGATGGGACAGAGCGGGTTAATCCACTTTCTTAAACTAGATTGAAAATTATAATTACTGAGTACTGACGGACTAGTAAATTAGAAACAAAAAAGGGAGTTGATATATTAATAGGTTGGCAGACAAATTAATATAAAAGAGTTCAGAAAAAAGTGGATTAAGAGGTTGGCGGAGTAATTAATATATTTATTTAAAAAAAAGTTATTGGTTTGACAGGTTTAGGTGGAAGGTAGAGGTGAAAGGAAGGAAAGTTCGTGGATGGTGGCAGGTAGTTTCCTGGAAAATAAGGCTCCCCTTTTTGTCTCTCTTCCTATCCTCTTGTTGTTACTAATATTTTCATTCTTCTTCTTTGTTCCATTCATTCAAAATCAAAATCATGTCTGGCATGCTTCCAGGAGTTGAATGTGCTCGAAAGAGAAGGTTGCATAACAGTCCCTTCACTCGTGATTCCAACACGCGCTCTTTCTGTTTGTATACCAGGAATCTCCAATCTCCCTTTTCCTCTTCCTCTTTACTGGTTCGTCTATATACATACATACCTTCTTCCTCTTTCTGTAATTTCTTCCACCCTCTCTCCCTCTCTCTATATGCTTAGTGCGTTATTCGAATGAAAACAGGAACGAAGCATGCTGAATCAGGCATACCCAGATGAGAATCTCGGAGGAGAAGCACTCGAAGCCAAACGGAGACTGGATCACAAGCTCATGGCACATATCGAAATACAAAACAAAGGCTGTGATCACAAAAGGAAAGGTTTTTTTCATGGATGCTGGCGGCAACTCAGATCTTGGGGAATCTAAAAAAATTGAAATTGAAAAATCCTGGACCAGCTTCTAGTCTGTTTGTTGTTCCGAAACGAGAGAGAGAGAGAAACAAACAGTGTGTAAGAAACTAGAAAGCCTTGAACATATTTTTTGTTCTTTTCTGGGTTCAGGAATCATACAAAAATGGGTTGAGTGCTCAGGTTTCAAGACACAATGATGCTTGATCCGATCTAGATCTTAGGAAATAAATTTTTGTTCTCCTTGACGGTTGTTGTTTCTTTCCTCGATAGATTATAAATATATTTAATTTATATATATTAAAAGGGCTAAGATACTATATGTCTTTAATAATTATACATTAATAAATATTAAAAATTATAAAATATATAAATTTTTTATTTTTATTTTTATATTCAAGAATATAAATAACTATTAAAAAGTAAATATCAAAAAAGTGGTTACTAAAATATATCTTCTTTATAATATACTAATAAGGTTGAGGCACTTCGTGCCTCTATTAAAGATAAAATAAAATAAAAATTAAGTAATAAGTATATGTGGATCTAATATTATAATTAGTTAATTAATTTTAGGGTCTTGATTTTCATAAAAATGTTTATTTTTCTAATTTTTTAAAATAAAAGGGTATAATGATCAACAAAATATGAAGATCAAGGTAGGAGTATCTCTTTTATATATTAGTATAGATTAGTAGAATCGAGATATTTCGTGCCTCTATTAAAATAAAATTAAAAAAAAATTAAAAAATAAAAGTATATTGATTTAATTAATATTATGATTAATTTATTAGTATGAATTTTTTAAATTTGATTAAAAAATATTTTTTTTAATTTTCAAAAATAAAAGAGTATAATGGTTAAAAAAATAGAGACCAAGGTGGTTACCGAAAAAGATATCTCCTTTATATATTAGTATATATATATATATTAAATTACTTTTATGCTAATTTTTCTAATTAATACTTATCTCTCTTATAATTAATACTAATCTCTCTTAATCAATTATAATCTATGATATATATTATTTTTTCTCTCATAATTAATATTATTTATTTTCTTAATTAATTAAAATATGTATTTTTTAAAATAATTTATAATTAATGTATTTTAATAAATTAAAAAAATTGTTTTAATTAATAATATTTTAATTAATAGTTAATATATTAAATATTATGAATGACATTTTATATAAAATAAATAATTATTTATTTTAAATTAATTCACCATAAATAGAAATAGAGATAATAATTAATTTAAACTCGCAAAATTGAACAATTGGGTATTGTTAAATTGATCATGTATCATCACTCCTTCATATCCGCATTTATTGGTCTTTGTTAAAAACAAATTAATTCATCACATAGATTTCTTTGTCTATATTAAATTACAATATATATTTTTTGAAACTCAAAAGGTGTGATACAAATGTATGATAGTTTGATTCTTTTAAGCATATATGATTGAGGTAAAAATTTTGATCATGCAAGCAGCAACGCTAGGGAGAGGAATTGTTCTTTAACTAATACTCTACTTACTTCCGGTAACACTATCCTTTAAATTATTAAAAGAACATTTTACTTAATTAAAGGTGTTTAAATAAATATTTTAGAAAATTTTAATAATTATGAGTGTTTTTAATTAAATAATAAATATTTGTGAAATTATTTTATAGAATATTTATTATAAAAAAATATGTATTTTTGTGGTATTTTGTTATAATAAGTATTTAGAGAAAAATATGTATTTTCATTATAAATTATTTTATATATTTTTTTTTATTTATATTTGTGTTGGGAGAAACATTTTTATTTTATATATGATTTATAAGTTTTAATATTTGAAGAAAAAGAAGTGTAACTATAATTAAAGTGATATACTAAGGGGTTAAACGTGTGTTGGGAAATTTTTAAAGGGGTTAAAGTTAGTTTTTCTTTTTACACTTTCTTATCTTTCATACACTTCTTCTTTGTACTTTGAAGAACTGCTTGTAGATAAAAAGGAGATAAACCTAAATATTGACGTTCGTTTGCAAGTGCTCATCAGGATAAGGAGAGAGTGAATAATCTCATTCTAAACATGAGATAATCATTGAGTAGTGAGATTGATCCCAATCTCCTTTTTGTTGTATCCGTCGTATGAAGGAATAATATCAATTTATGACTTGTGTATGTGTGTGTGTTATGTGAAAATATGTAATTAATGGTTTAATATATGATTTTAGACTTTTAATCTTTGATTCTATTATTTGGATGGTCACTTATAGTAAAATATGGTGGTGAGACGAGACATGAGTTAGAAACAATCGAAGTTCATATATGTTAGATGGCATCATAGGTGTAATCAATGAGTCACAACTGTAACTAGTCAATCACAAGTGTGAGCGGCATCACGAGTGTGACTGGTAAGTCATGACTATAGCACGTCTTCACCTCAACCCTTTTTAGAAATATTGAGTCAGTCACGAGTGTGACCAACAAATTATGGGTGAGTCACAGTTGTGACTTGTGAGTCATGGCTATGACTCACCTTGTTGCTTTTTTTTTCCTCTTTTCTCATCCCTTCTTTATATTTTCTCCCTTTTATCACATTTATTGTTTAAATTATACTTATGAGTTTGAGATAACTTGAGAATGATTAGCTTAAAGATGCAATCTGAGTATTAGTAATGATTAGGAAGTAATTGAGTTAATATTAAAAAATTTTAGTGGTAACGAATGTTCTTATAATGATTATAATTGAGGTGTTTTATTAGCATGGCTTAGTATTGTGATTCATAATGTTAGTAGTGAGATGTTTTCCCCTTTAATTGGTTGATCTTATAAATGGTTTGATGTGCCTATATTAATGTTAAGAAAGGGAAATTATGGGAGAGAATAGTTGTAAATAAGTGATGATATAAGTTAATTGTTAATGACTTTAGGCGTTTTGATGATAGTTATGCCTAAGGAGTTAATATGTGATACCAATACGTTGTTAAATTATTTATTTAAAGGCCTAGTTTGATGTTGATCTATTAGTGACTATGGTTTAGGTATTAACATATGATTAGGTGAATTCATAATGATTTTATCTTGAGGTGTATTGAATGATGTTGTGTGATTATTGTGCTTCGATTGTGAACATGTCGCTCTTTTACTATTGATGTGGACAATTGAGTATGATATGTTGTTGAAATTTCCGTTGAAGTACTTTTGTTATAATTGAAACGCTGTGGTGGGCGCAACCACGAGTGCGCCGGGCGCGGAGATGTGACTTCACTAATGGATGTTAGAGCTTGTTGATGTTGAGTTGTACCAGTTGTATGCTGTCGTAAGTTGATTTTGTTGAGCTGTATCAGTTGAATACTGTTGTGAGTTGATATGTTGAGTTGTACAGTTGTGTTATACTGTGTGTTGATATTGGATGTTGTAGGTCGTAAGGCTGAGGTGTTGTAGGTCGTAAGGCTGAGGTGTTGTAGGCCGAAAGGCTGAGGTGTTGTAGGCCGAAAGGCTGAGGTGTTGTAGGAGATCTCCGAGGTGATATGCGTGACGACGCATTGTGTGCTTATTGCTGATTACGCTGTAAGATCGATGAGTTGTGTGATAATGATGTGAGATGTGTGCTGTTATGGCTAAATGATGTGGTACTTTAAATGAATTTTGTTAAGTTGATTGATGTGTTGATTTGCTGTGCTGATAGGGGTAGCTGTTTACTATTCATATATTTATATATATGTATGTTATTTCTTTTCACTAGCTTACCCTTTGTTGTTTCCATGTGGTTTGGACTGCGATGATCATACTATGTATGGGAGCAGAGCAGGGTTAGGCGGGTGGCTAGTGGTGAGTCTGCATCTGGCAGGCGGAGCTGGATCCTTGTTGATGCTTTGTTGTTTTCAGCTACTTGGTGTAGCCGTTGATAATGTATTTTGTTTTTGTACACTCTAACTCTAGTCGGATAGGGACTTTGTATATATTTATATTCTAGACCCTATATTTATATACTTGTCCTTTCTGTCTGGCGTTTCCGGTGTACAGTGGTGTGTGTAGTGACCAGCCGGGTCGTTACA